TCACAGCTGTATTGTGAGGTTCATGCTGCAGATATATTGTCCCCATTCTGAAGATAAAGAAACTGAGGCTCAAGGAAGTCTTGATCATAGCCATAACAACTAGGTGGGATTTGAACATGAGTCTTTCTGACTTCAGGTCTGACACTAACTACTCCATCATGCTACTAATAATTTTTCTAATAAAACAAGGGGAGGAAAAAAGGGCTAAGTGTCTTTTATTTGTTTTAAGAGTAATATCAGAATCCTTTTCTTCTCAGCAATGATCTATGGATATTTTGGGGAATTCCATATTTAGGAAGAGGAAGAAGAGAGAATGGTTCTAGGAATGAGTCACCAAGCCTTCAGGGCTTTAAGCTTACCATCCTTTATCTGGGCAGCTTCAATGATTTTGAATAGCTTAGAAGTCTCCCTTGAATGTTCTCCACCATGTGAGTAAGAGGAAGAAGGCGATACAGAGCAGCAATTCAAAGACAGCAAGCTGTGTGGCTATAAAAATAAATCAAGGGAGCTTCTTGAAACCATCAGCAGCAAAGTAGTTTAGTCAAAATGAATTATGGTGAATTCATGTTTTTGATATCTAAATCCAGTATTGTACATAACCATGCTGTATGGAAAATTATGTGTATAATGTATTTTGCCATTAGCAACATGGCAGCACAAGTTTGTTTTAGGGCTCAATTTATCTACTTCCCAGAAAAGTCCTTTCTCTTTCTTTTACAACTCAATCTTCATGGCATTTCCCTTTCTCATATTTTATTTTTTTTTAATTCCAATATCCTTTTGTCCTTTTTCTAATAAAATCTCATGGCTTGCCATTTGACTATTATGTTTTGTTTGGTTTTTAATTTGCTTACCACTAAACTACTCTCTGCCTTCCTTTTCAGACTTACACAACCTTTCTTATGATTTTTCTTGTATTCAGAGTAGCATGTTACCCTGAAGCTGGTGAGCAAATAATGTTTTTAAATCAGCTGAAAGCATTGGTAGCTCAGATGGTGCCCTGAGCCTTAGGGATTCATCTCATCTAGGTGCTAAGTAGGTAGCATGTTGTAGTGCAAATCTCACAGGACTGGGAGACAAGAAACTCAGGTTCTACTCATGGCCATACCACAAACTCACTATATGATCTCAGGCAAAATATTCCACCTCTTCAACCCTCGGTTTCCCCATAGGTAAAATGATGGGGTAGAATTAGATGGTTTCTCTGGTTGTGTCCCATCCTAATTTCTTTCACTCTATAAATCAAGAACTTGAAGAAATTAAGTGGATAGATAGAAACAATCAGGAAGAATAAGATTTACCAAGATGTATTATTATGTAAATAACACTGAAGTGGGAATTAGAAGGTGACTTTAGGAATTTCATTCAATTTCTCCGGGACTCAGTTTCTACATCTGGAAAATGTATAGTAGTTGAAAAGATGATTTATAAGGTCCATTTAATTTCATAATTTTTCATGGTTTATGATCTATTACATAGAATATATTATGTTCTATGATGTGTAACTGGAGATTGCATGGCATGGTAGATAAAGGACCAACTTTAGAATCAGAAAACTCTCTATTTGAGTGCTTCCATTAACACATATTATCTATGTGACCAAGGTCAAGTCACTTATCTCAATACAGTAGGCAACACCCTAGGCAATTAATTCCATAAGCATTTATTAAGTATTTATTGTGTACTATATCAGGTATTGTGCTTAGCATTTGGGATACACAATAAGGTAAAACCCTGTCCCTGTCCTCAAGGTCTCACATTCTAACAGGGGAGAGAACATGAAAATACCTAAGTGGCACAGTGGATAGAACACTGGTCCTGGAGTCAGGAAGACCTGAGTTCAAATCCGGTCCAAGACACTGGATACTTACTAGCTGTGTGACCCTGGGCAAGTCACTTAACCCCAATTGCCTTGACCCCCTCCAAAAAATGCCTAGGTTCTTGCAAGATAAATACAGAATAGATCATATTGAAGCACTAGAGGAATCAGGAAGAAAAGACCTTGTAAGGCCTTCTGTGGATCGTAGGATCTGAGGTGAGTTTTGAAGAGAGCCAGAGTTGGAAGTGAAAGAGTTGGGATGCCAGGAAGCATTCCAGGCACAAGAGATAGTTCAAAGGCACCAAGATTGGAAGTAGAAGAATGTGTGTGAGGATTTACAAGAAGGACAGCATGGATTAACTGTGGAGTATGTGGAGCGGGTAGATAATGGTCAGGTTGGGAAGAACTTACCAGATTCTGGAGGTAAGACTGGAGAGGACAAAGGGATGATGTGATGACCCATGATTTGGCAAGATGAGTGGAGGATGTATTGGAGTGGACAGAGACCTGAAGCAGGGAGACCAACCAAAATTCTGCTGTAATCACCAAGGTATACACCAAAATGCTGTATAGATGGAAGAGTGGGGTATAAAGAAGGGGGATGGGAAGATGGAAATGACAGTATTTGGCAACTTACTGAATATGTGGGGTGAATGAGAGTGAGGAGGAGAGGGTAACACACACTGAGACTGCAAGTCTTGAAGCCTCAAAATAGGAAAGTAATAGGAAGACCTGGGAGAGGGGAGGGACTGGTGTTCAGTATTCAGCCTATAGGACTTCCAGTTCAAGATACTGAAAAGATAGTTGGCAATATGAGATGATGCTCAGGGGAGAGACTAGGGTTGGATGTATATCTGTGGTAGTCATCTGAGTAAGATGATAATTGACTCCACCTAAACTTATAAATTAACCAAGTGAGACAAAATGTGGGGGTGGGGAGAGAAAGACAAGAGACTAGAGCAGAGTCTTGGGGGATACTCAAAGTTAGTGGTCATGATGTGGATGAGGATGCTGAAAAGGAAGTTGAAGTTAGGAGGAGAATCAGGAGAGAGAAGGGTCATGGAAATCTAAATAATATCCAGGAAGAAACAAATGATTAACTGTTCTATGGTGGTGGAGGGAATTTTCATACTGGGAGTTACATAGGCTGATGAAATCACATGTCCAGACACACCCCTCTCAAAAAAAAAAAAGATTTATGATATAGAATTAGTTGACTAGCTAAGGCATGGAAATAGGTTAAAAATTTCTTCTCTATGACTTACCTATCCTTCAAGAATTTTTTGTTCTCATTATGTATAGATTTGTAGACATTTTCCTAGTAATCTCCATTAGTAGATGGCCCTATTAAGACAATGCAGTAGATAATCACATTGAGTTTTAACAAAGTTGAAGCTTGCATTGACTAAGGACTAAACTCACCGAGTGATAGATAGTCAACGTGTTGTAGTGGCAAAGGTGAGGGACTAATGATCTTGAGAAGTCTGGGTTCACATCCCACCTCTGACACTTAGTAGTTATGTAAGTCTGAGCACATCACTTACTGTTGCATAACCTCCATTTCCATACATGAAATACTGCCTCTTCTGATCCAGATTAGCAAATTATTGTTGCCATACAGTGTTGGAGATTTTCCTCAAGGGTGCTGGGAGGTTAAGAGACTTGCTCAAGATCATTTAGCCAGTATACAGCAGACTTGATAATGATTTGCAAGACTTGAAACACTACCTTCCAGACCCTAAGTTAGGCCCTGTGTCCTCACTATCTCTTGCTAAGTATAATATAATATATAAAGTCAAGGACTACACCTCCCACATTTTGTCTAGCCAAAGACATGGCATATTTATTAGGTAATCCATGAAATGAAATCCTTCATCAGAAGGTAGCTGTCACTTCTATTGTAGTTATTGGGTATTTACCACCAATGACTAAACCTCACTGCACATTGTTTCACAGGGATTCTGCCAACAACTGAACATTACAATAACAAATTTATGGCGGGAGAGTTTAGAGAGTAATAATAAGGAAGATAGCAAAACCTTCCTTCCTATTTGCGCTATGAGCTCTGTCCAAGAGGAAAACATAGTCAGCTACCTCTGCGTCCCTTTCAATCAATATGTCTGTGCTTCTTTTGTCTTAAAAATCTGCTCAAAATATCAAGGATAAGTAGTATTTTCTCCCAACATTAAAAAAAAAGCATCAGGTAGTTACTGTTGAAATGGTTATTCCCACTGAAAACCATCTCCAGAGATAGGATTTGTCATGAGGCAAGAAAAGGCTATGGAAACCGATGGTTTTCATAGTATCTATACTACCTCTGCATTAACTTTTAGAACAGAAGAGCTCCAGAGCTTGGCAGCATTCCCAAACTGCACTATTTACCACTGATTGGTATGATTAGTTTTCTTTCTGTCCTATACTTACACTATCATACATAGTACTTAAGAGAAACAAGTCTACAATGCCCTCCCCCATCCCAGCTTGATGCAGAGATCCTGCCCCCTACTGGCTCTTTTCCTCCCAATTAACAGAAAAATGTATTTTTTTTCTATCCCACCCTCTATTTTTCCCTCTGGAAAAAAAGAAAAAGAAAACAAAACCCATGTAACAAATATGAATGGTCAAGCAAAACAAATCGCTGCACTGGTCATATCCAAAAAATATGTCTCAGTTTGCAAACTAAGTCCATCAGCTCTCTATAGGAAGTGGGGTGTGTATTTCCCCATGAGTCATTTGGAATATCACTTGGTTTTCACATTGATTGGTGTTCTTGAGTTTTTTAAAGTCTGTTTTTACAATGTTGTTTTTATTGAACAAACTATTCTGGTTCTTCTGCTCACTTTACCTGCATGAGTTCATACAAGTCTTCCCAGGTTCCTCTGAAACCATCCCCTTGGTCATTTCTTACAACCATATAGTAGTATTCCATTAAATTCATTTATAAAAATTTATTCATAATTCCCCAATTGTTGGGTACCCCCTTTTGTTTCCAGTTCTTTGGAATCACAAAAAGGGAGGGAGAAGGGAACAGGTAATTTATTAAGCACCTACTGTGAGCCATGTACTGTACTAAGCACTTTGCTAATATTATCTTTATATAATCTCTGATAATTATCTCTGCTTGAAATATTTTTGTTACTAATCTTCCTGGCATTCTTAATCCCTGTCCCTTTTCTTCCAGACGGAGGTCTTTGTGCACGCCTTTAAAGATCAGCTGGTCAGAAGTGCCCTCTTAGCTCTCTACACAGCCCGGCCAGGCTGTGTCCTCAAGAAATCACCCACTCCCAAGAACACTGGGGAAGAAGAGGCTAAACCTGCAGGGTCCCTGCCCCCGATCCAAAGGCAAGATTCTATCCCACATCACTCAGACTATGATGAAGAAGAGTGGGTAAGGATCCCTCTGTCCTCTATCCCCTGCTTTTGAATGAGTATGTACTCACAAACAGAAAAGTATAGAAAGGGTAGGTCTCCCCTTCTAACCAAAACACATTCCTGGAAGCTAAAGCATAAAACAAATTGTCATAAAGCAGATCACATATATCTGTAGGAACAGAACTGAAATTGGGTGTTGTGTTCCTGACCAAGGATTTTGTGACAAATGACCAATATTATGTCATAAAAGCAAAGATACAGCAACTATAAAACACTATAAGCACTTAAATAGTAAAATTATATCCCAAGCCCTATAAAATGGGCATAAATATACTACATTGATTATGCCATGCACTATAAACTACACACTGCTCTATAAAGAGCACATCCAGTGCATAAAAAACAAAATTCAACTCTGTCATAAATTTGACTTGAAATGAATATGCTGGCTATAATAAACATTAATTAAACATTTAATTAAACAATAATACTTTTTGCCTTCTTATAATTTAGAAAGGCTTTTAGAGAGTGATTTACATGGTCCAACTCTCCTATAAAAGTACTTAAAGGAAGTTTGAACTGATAAATTTTTCCCTATCCAAAGAATTTTTTGTGCAATAAGAAAAGATAGGTTGGTGTTCAGAGTGATGAATAGAATCATAACATTTTGTTCTTGATAAGGAAGATAGATTCTTCCAATAAAAAGTAATTTTTTAAAGTGTATGAGTTAACCTAACACTTCTTTATTTTTTTTTACCTCCTCAGTTTATTCAAACCTGTAAGTACATCTAGTCAATAGCAAATGAAATCACTGCTGCTAGGAATTAGCAATTGCTGTTGTCACTCTTTTTTATTCTTTACTACTCTGGTTAATGTCCTCACATTTTGATGGCAGACCACTATATATTTTGTACTTAAGGTATGCTGCCCTGTGACTGTATCCATGGTTGAGAAGTCCAAGTATAACCAAAAGTCATCCCTTTTATTCCCATGATTGCTCTGTGCCCACCCTTTAAAATTGAAATTAATTTTATTTAAGGTATGCTGCCCTATGACTGGTATCCATGTTTGAGAACTCCAAGTATAACCAAAAGTCATCTCTTTTATTCCCGCAATTGTTCTGTACCCCTCCCCTTAAAATTGAAGTTAATAGGATAACATTTAGCATACAACAAATATAGTCCATTTAGTGACCTTTTTTTTTTTCATGTAGTTCCCATTCATGCATTCATTAATACATCAAATGTTTGTGGAGCAGCTATGATGTGTGCTAGGCAACAATTTCTCTGAACACTTGACAATTTTTTGACCTGCTGTTAGAACATTTTACATGTCAGTGGAAAACCATAACAGTTAATGACCAGACCATTAGTTACAGAGATGTAAAAAGGAACTCTGAAGCAGTTCTCACTAGGGTATTGCTATGATAGGCATAAGACAGCACCCAAACTGACCACAGGTTGTTGCTAATGAAAGGAACACCATCCAGGAGACTTGAAGTCTGAGACTTTGTTGAGGAACATATATTTACCAATGGCATAGGAAATGAAAATAGGTGCGGGGTGAGAACTCCCTATACTTGCAAAGAAACAAGGAAGCCCTTGTATTTGGATTAAAAAGATTTTTGAAAATTGAATTGAAAAGAAATAGTTCTGGTTTTTACACTTTCTTTTTCATTTTAAATAATTAAAAAAATAAATTCATATGAATTTGCCAATGAGCCTTTTTGGTACTAGATACAAAATTGAACTATTTTCTTCCTAAGGATGTAGTAATTCAAACTTGCATTAATGGCTCTTGAGTAATAGCAATCTCTAAAACTTTGGCTTACTCTTAGGACTTGCTCTCTCTTGAAAGTGTCATGTGAAAAAAAATGAAGTGATCTAAAGATAATTTGGCTTTAAGAATGTTATAATATGTCTGAAGATGTGTCCAAAAAATAAAAATTAGGAATAATGGTATAGAGTGTGTCTGTCATGGACCAAGAAAATTGGAGTAGAAATAAAAGTAACCATTCCCCCTGCCATTCAAATAATTCATTAGTCTAACAGTGGCTTATTATATTGAGTTAGGGATATGTATGAATAGTGTATGGATTGTATGTGCATTGTTTTGGGTAAGGGTGTGATGTGAGAAAATATAGGAATGGGAATGAGCAAGAATAGCATATATTAGGGGCAGCTAGGTGGTACAGTGAATAGAGCACCAGTCTTGCAGTAAGGAAGACCTGAGTTCAAATCTGGCCTCAGGCATTTACTAGCTGCGTGACCCTGGGCAAGTCACTTAATCCTGATCGCCTCCCAAAAAATGGCAGATATTTAGGCTAAAAGAGAGAAACAGAATTGATTTTATCATTGGAGTATACACAGGGATGTGCTGGTAAATGTTTAACAAGTTGTTTAACAAAAAAAGTATGCAAAATAAACATTTGAGTTTAATCTGCATTATTAACATTTTTTCCATCACTTTCTTAAGTCAAGATAATCGACAAAACACATCAAGCCCTGATTTGTGGAGCTTGCCAGTTTTTAAGGTCTTATGGAAATGTGACAACTGGCTTTCTAAGTTCAAACATGCTCCAGCACACCTCTGAGTCAGATGACTAGGACAAAAGCAGGAATTAGATCAAGACTTCAGGAAACAGACTACAAGCTTGGCAGCCGTGAACTAAATAACTAACTCAATAAAGAGAAAGAGAGAGGGGTGGGGGGTTGGGGGAGGCAGACAGAGAGATGGATGGATAAATAGATGGATTATTAGATGAATAGATGGCTATGTAATTAGAGATAGATATGTAGAGAGATATCAGTATTTTCATATGATTCATTTCCTTTGTGACCCTATATATTTTATTTTATACATTTAATAACATCAGTATTCTGAGAAGGGATCTGTAAGCTTCACCAGACTGCCAAACGGGGCCATGGCACCCTACAAAGTTAAGAACCCTGGCACAGAAGAATGGTATGGTTGATGGGGGACTTCAATTGCCTGAATACCCAATAGAGCTTTGTCTCTCTGCCTTAAGCAGCAAAACTAATGTCTTTATTTACCTTAATGCTAGTCAGTCTTCAAAAGATAGAAGAAGCAACAAGTATAACTGCTCTTCTAAACTGGATTTTCATCAACAAGCAGGAACTGATACGTTAAGTAGAAACTTGGAGAGATTTGTCTTAGAATTCATGATGAAGAAAAAAAATTCAAGGTATATGCTGACACACACAGCCTTCAATGGATTTAGAGAAAGAACAGGCAGAATCCCTTTACCCTTTCCCTTCTCCTTCTTAGGGGAAGTTGGCTCAGGAGAGATGGGAACCTTTCAAAGAGAAATTATTCTAATAATAAGGAAACAATAGAATTGTCAAAAGATAACAATGTGGATGCACAGGAAACATCATTCAACTTAGATTGTCTGAAAAGCATGTTGAAAAGACAGAAGGGAGGACAGTTAACTCAAGATGAATTCAAAAGTGTCCATTAGTCCTTTGAGAAAGGTGTTAGGGTACAAAAATGAATAATGAGCTGACATTGGCAAAGAAAACTAAGTGTAATGAAAAGTTCTTAGTTTTAAAGCTCTTTGGTGTGAGAGAAAAGAGGAACAAAGGAAATCTGGAACTATTGATTAGTATAAATCAAATTACAATGGACAACAAAGAGAAGGCCTGTTTTCTGTCAAGGACAATGATGCTTTGCACTAGAAAAGATGGCACATAATCATCATCATTGCTAATATTTTTACCATACTTTTATATTTGCAAAGCTCTATATATACCTACCAGGGAGTTGAAACCCAAGTTAATAGAATAGAATGGCTTTAGTAATAGTCATAGAATGACTTTGTTTTCCTCAATGGGCAAATCAGAGACATAATGGCAAGCCTAAGGGAGGCATAGCTAGATAGCAATTCATCCTTTAAAAATATGGGAGTTTTAGTGGATGATTATCAAGAAGCAGTATGGCAGATTAGATAAAGAGCCTCTCTGAGTTAGGAAGACCTGAATTCAAGTCTGACCTCTGACACATATTGACTATGTGACCATGGGTAAGTCAGTTAACCTTGAAATGTGCTAGGCAACTTTCTAAGAATGTCTTTCAGAAATGATGTTGATTCGTGTTGCTAAAGGTATTTTCCTCATCTGAGAGTTCCTTTTACCAATAACATTACAATTCCAGTTGCTATCCCATTTGCCAGGAATATTAATGTTATATATGACTACAGCAGGAGAATCATAGTATCTAAGTATAAGGAGGTAATGATCCTGATGTCATTTGCCCTGATTAAACTACATCTGCAGGACTGGATTCAATTCTGAGTGCCATGTTTTAGGAAGGACGTTGGTATGCTGAAGAGCATTGAGAGAATTGCAGCCAAGATGGCGAACAACCTTGGGATCATGCAATTTGAGGAACTGTTGAAGAAACCAGAGATATTCAGGCAAGAGAAGAGATGACTTGGGAGACATGAGAGTTGTTCAGTCTTTGAAGGGTTGTCATATGGAAGAAGCATTAAGCTTGTTTTGTGTGTTTCTCAGAGGGCAGAATTAGTGGCAAAGGATCAAAGGTTTGCAAATGTGCCTAACAATTAGAACTGTCCAAAAATAAAATGGGCTGTGTTGGGAGATGGTGATGTTTCCCCAGTGGATGTATTAAAGCAAAAACTTCATGGCATCTTGTTAGGCGTGTCATTGAGGGGATTCTTGGTCAAGTTCAGGTTGAGCTAGATGGCCAAAACTTCAAAGGCGTAAGGAGAGATTATCTTCAGGTGATGTGGGGAACAGCCTATTTAAGAGCCCACAGTGTGATATAGAGCACCAAGTTTGGAAGAACAGATGCAAACCTGGCTTAGATGTAATATAGAATGTAGGAATGAGGAGTTATATGAAATCTGGCATTGAAAAGTATTTTGGGGACAGGTTATAGGAGGCATTAAATACCAGGCTGAGGAATTTATCTCTTATACGTTAGGCAAAAGGGAGACACTGATGGCTTCTTAAACAAGAGTGACATGTTGATATT